CCCCCCCAAATCATCGGTGAACGAAACTGCGGCAGCTACAACCACTGTACGACGAGTACGCGGTTATTACAGTTTACGATGATGATGATGATGATGATGATGATGATGATGATGATGACTAGTAGGTCACGGATATAAAACCTAGTCGGTAAGAAATAGGGATGCTCGGAACATCGGAGTTTTCGGCCAAAAAGCGTCCCCAAAAAGTATGGAAAGTGACACTTGACACCTCGATGTTTGAAAGCTTCCTAGTTTTGTTCTACCATGTCGAATCCAATGGTTCTGTCGAGTTAGTGAAATAACTAAACAAACCCTAGCATCATCAACTTACCCCGAATGGTGAAGCCGTTCGGACGCTCACCTCAAAAATCGATCAGTATCATCCAATCGGACGTGGACCTACGTTCGTTTTATTGTGTCTGGCGTCGGGATCAGAGCTGAAACTCCGTGTGTGCAAACTTCACTTAGGACCTCTGTTCTCAGGGCATTACAATCCGTAACGTTACCGAAGCTGGCTCATCCTACAGCAGTAAGACATAGTACGTGAAAGTATCCCTTGTATTTTGATACCCACCAACATGGTTGCTTCAGTCATTACTTTTTGACGAGATCAGTTTTTTTAACCCTAATCAGGTAGCTGGCTGATAACATCGCAGTTTTGTCAGTGCATTAGCGCTTTGCCTAACCTCTGTCCTTAACAAGGCTCTCTGACCGATATTTCGCAGAGCTTTCTGTAAATGACCGTATTCTGAAGATTCCAGTGGACAAAAGAGACAACGCAAACAAGTCTACAACTTCCCATCTAAACTGCACGAAGCTGGATCATCTTTTTACCTTCCTTTTCCAGCTACTCCACCCCCTTTTGTAACTGTCTGTTCTCGCGAGGCAAGTAACTCCCTAATGCCCTCGTCCTGTTCAAATGGTATTCGTTCACCTGAGCACAACCCATCTGCCAAGCGTGGTAGTAAACGCACAGGTTCGGCAAATCGCGTGAACAAGTTTCCTAACCCGTCGCCAAACAAAAAAAACCAAAGCAACACGAATAATGGCAATGGGCATGCCCCCAGTAAAGGTCAGTGCTCACTTTTGTCCCACCACCGATGTATCTGTGCTGCTTTTTTTCGGATCGAATTCCTTAACCAGTTGGCATTCTGAGTTTGAGCCGTTTTGTGTCAGAACGTTTTGTGATAGAACGTCAGTCCAACAGTCTCAGAATCCTTTGCTCGGGAAACTGATAGAACGTCAGTCCAACAGTCTCAGAAAAAATGCAATATCATCGGTCAATACCAGTGTTCTGGACAGTTGGTCTGCCAGAATTACAAGTGAACTTTCCGTGGAATACATATACTTCATCTATACTCCGTCTATCCTTGTTCGAACAGGAAAGGTCGGATTTCGGTATCGAGTTCAGAGTGAATATACAGTCATTAACAGTCATGGTGAACACCTTTTCAATCTCCTAGCCCTTTGCCTGAAGACAAGACTGACAGTTGATGTTTAAGGAGCCCATATTGACAGTTCCTGGCTAAAATTGCTGTGCTGCATGGTTGGTACTTTGGAAAAGCATTTCTTGAGTATTATCTCATTAGAGAAGGAGAGCCGGTTTACATTAGTCGAGCAGGAGTGTTCACGAGTGACTAAGGGGTCGGCCGTGACGATACTGCTTTTAGTACAACTCAAGATCCTGTCGTTGGATGAATCCCTCGTTCCAGTTTATTACATTTCCGTGGATAAGGCTCATATTGTATGACTCCACCAGACCATCTCACGAAACTCCAAGCTTCTTGGAGGGAGAGGATTAGTCACTCTGCCAGCATCTTCTGATTGGCGGATGAAACAAATGTCCTGTGAAGTGTGCTCTCACTCTTGGTTTAGTTTTCAAGTCACGCGCAGTTTCGTTCGCGCCACGGGACCATCTGCCTTATTTTTTCCAACATCCTGACAGCCATTTCAAACCGCACTCACTTGGTAATGTACTAGTTTTCGGACTCCACTTGAATGGTATGTGGTAGAATTCTTTGACTGTTGAATTTTTCGTTTGTTTTGCGCTTTGATTGTTTGTGTTGTGTGCGTGTGTGAGTGAGTGAGTGAGTGAGTGAGTGGGTGTGCGTGTTTCCTCTGTGCCGCTGCAATCGCGTGCCATTCCATAACGGATAATCAACCTAGCACTCTCCCGACAAATATGGAGTATCATTCTGCTGAGCTGGTGGGGCAAACTGCTCCGAAGAGTTTTACTCAGCCATTTTTCTACCAAAACCCGCAATGCTAACCCCCCAAAATAAAGATGCACCTCTCGTGTAAGTCACGCCACAATCGATTTTCCGTTCACTGCACAATATCCTCCATCTACTGTCCTTCGTACACTTCACGAATTTTTCGCAGCATATGCTGCTCACGCTTGTCGGTTCTAAGCGTTTTCCAGTTGATTATACTCGTAATCGCTTTTCCTGAGGGCAGAGTTTTCCGCACCAGTTCTCTCATCCTCTCTTTTTCACACTTTACTAGGACATTTCCCGTTCATGGTTGCATGACAGCTAGGCACCACTATTTACTATTGGCGTATTGCTTATTGATGATGAGTTGTACTTGAAAATAAGCAGTGAGTCTCTGGCTTTGTAGGTTTTATCAGACCAGTGAGCACCAGGCAACATTACACATGACGTGTAGGTGGGCGACTCAACACCCGGCCGGGCATTCTAGATATCCAAACCTTTACCTACTATCAGTCAGATAATCCAGTAATCAAAGTTTCTAGTCTCTTCAGTGTCGGGGACCGCATTTTGCTTCACACGATGAACATGCGTTGACTGGCTAAGACCTGACCTTGGTCTTAAAAGTGCGCTCCGATAAAAAGGCGCAGTAACTGGGGAAACGACCAATTGGGACATATGGTAGGTCCAGGGACTGTAATCCAATGGCAAGGCTTGGCTAAGGAGCAGTAGAATTCCATAAAACCATCCAGATGTGGAATGGTACGGTACTCATTCTTTATGTAGAACGCCTTTCTAGAGAATCTAAGCTTTTTAGTACTTCTAAACATGGCCTAATTAGTTGTTGGAGCTGGAAAACTTGGTTGCTAATACTTAGACATCAATCGAGGTGGATTCATCATCAATATGTTGTTGCGTCGCGACGTTTTTCGGCGCTGTATAGTTGTGTGCATATGTTTATATGCAGCTAATTGGACCTAACCTTTGATTGCGATTGGTTCTCTGGGCTTGAAATGCCCCCGGATGACTCATGGTTTTGTGTTATGATTGATTCACGTCCACGTGATCTTTAGTCTTGTCTGGACTCCTATCTACTGGTTGGCAATCAGGTGAGCTGTGAACTTGGTCTTGGTACTTCACCCTGTGCCCTTCATTGATGTAGTTCCTGGATCATTTCAGTCTTTTGATGAGCTACTCAGTCCCAGCTGATTATTCTGGTCGAATCGCCAGCTTTGTGTAGCACAAATAGTGTGCAGTTCACCACATCATTTGCATTAATGAAATCCGCTGTAGATAGCCAAAAAGTTTCCTGCTTGGCTTGTATCTCCGCATTCCAAGATTTCCACGTTTTCCATAACGATTTTTAGAAACGTTTCTTGATCCTAATTTATGGAGATCAAGGATCACCGCATTGTATTCGTTTAAAGCCTTCCTCCAGTTTGTCCAAAATAAAAGTAACCACCAACCATACAACGGGAGCCATCAACATCCCCTTCAATATTTGGCGGTTCCGCTCAAAGCGGAGTCGAAATCGAACAGGGTATTGGAAACAGTTTTCTAGCAATCTGAAAGTTACACATGAACTAGGAAGGCATCTTTAATGTTTTGCGAAAACAAAGTCCAGAGAAGAAGCCATTAGGAGGACACAAAAACTGAGCAAAAATCGAAGCCAAACTCAGAAGACCCAATAAATCATTGAATGGAGATTGCGTCAAACGAAGAGGTACTCTATGGGCCGATCAAGTCCCACAGTCGAACCGAGAAAAGCAAACTTATAAATAGCAGCTATCTAATGGAACGCTCGAATGGCATTAAGAGGGGCTGGACCACAACCCACAAGAAAAGCAGAATGGGCCAATCGGAATAAAGAAAAAGCAGAACCACTGTAACAGAGCTACTCAATTAACCAATTAGATGCAATCTAATCTGACCATTAGAAAATCGTTCAGCTTTAACACACTTTCGGTGCCTAGCCGCTGTGCCATCCGAAGGATATACGAGGGTCGCCCAAGCCTAGACAGGGCAAGTCGAGATGCAGAGTTCGGGTTCGAACTACGAACCTTGCGGTCAGTACTATTCGCGCTCTAACCACTGAGGCATCAGATCATAACGAAACGCAAATCCGGAAGTGAACAACCAAATTAACTGTCGGGCATTCATCACACGACTAATCACACTGCAGCTATTAACTACTCTTTAGAACCTATATAAACGTAAGTACAGATGGACCCAACCACTCTGTGGGGATGTGTCCTCGCAAGCAGATTGACCGCCACCGATAGGCTGCGTTTTCTCCAATTCGGACAAACCACGGATAAAACCATTTTTCCCTAGAAATATTGATATTCATTCCATTAATTTTCGGCACATTCTCTGTTGTAAGCTATGCTCCGTTCGCATTCTGTGGACTGCTACGTTTCGCTTCACCAAGGCGCGCACAACCGTGATATTTTAAGTGTGGAGGAGTTTGCAGTACAGTCATCCAGCTGTGATTCATTCCCAAGGTTGAACAAACAATCCCAGCTACGTTCAACCGCCATTTCTTCGCATCTTGGTTTGGTTTAGATTCGTACTACTTGGTTCACTTCGTTTTATTTAGCAGTGCCGGAATTAAGGGGATGATCGGACCGTCAACCAATCGTACGATGGTTGTTTTATGTCTGAGTGTTACACTGTGAAGATTGCGTCCGCCGCCAGATTGCTGAACGATTTTGCTAACATTGTGGGATTCACATCGACATGTAAATAGAGAAGCAAGACTGGTAGTTGGCTGAGCTGGGCAATTCGATTGCAAACGTTGTGGTGGGTTGTGGTGGTTGACACAACCACCGGCCCATCGCCACGCACCACTACACTCCCTAACAACCTACTGATGATGTCACCTCGATTGGTGATGAAACGTTTGCAACCAAATGGCCCAACTGAGCGAACAAGCCAACGACCACTATCTACGCTACCTGAGCTACCGACACTTTCCTCTTCTTTTCAGACTGTTCTTCACGTGAGGGGGAGGTTCTCCTAAATGACGAATGCTTTATTAAAGTGTAAAATAACTGTCAGTGCTCACAACTTTTTGGAGATGTTGCTTAGGTGGTACTGCCGACTTTTGAGCACTCAGACAGAGCATCACAGAAAGTAGTTCGGGGCAACCGAATACTGTCCCCCCTTAATGGGAGCACCAGGTGCATTCCCCTCAGCCTAAAACATTTCCCCAATTGTGAAACGAGCGATTCTCTCTTCTCCGGACCGATTAGAAAGATTGTACACTTCACTTACCCTAACAGATTGAACAGTTTCACGTACTGTCCTACACTGCTGTAGAATCTGAGGTGGTTATGTGGACGAGAGATGTACAACAGTTTCTCTCCCCATCCAGACTATGATAGTAACCCCTCGACTCCTTGCTCAATTCTCACACACATCTTGCAATCGAATAGGCAAATTGCTCTCTGTGTACGATAGGCTAAAAATGGTTTTGGATGGCAGCTGATTTCCCGGTGCACGATTGCAAACGATCAACTCAGGCGTCGCTTACGTTGACCTATTTCAGTGATGCTCGTTTGAATTTCCCACCACTCTCGAGCAATGTTTAGTAAATGTGAAGATTCAAACA